TGAGGCAAGGACATTTTTTTTTCAAATGAAGTTTTTAAAAGATACCAACTCTAACTAGCCAACCAATAGAATGTCATTTTAAAAAATATTAGCATTTCACATTTGTCAAGAAAGCTTTGCCTGTCATTTGCACCTTCTACAGGAAAGAGAGGAAGCGTTACTGACATTTCCTAGGCAGGGACAATGCCTAGAGTGCTTCAGCACTACAGAGTAGTAGTAAGGGAAGGAAAGGAAAGGTTCAGCAGATTCGGCTATCAGAAGGTTCAGCTTGGGGTTCTTTTTTTAATAGCTTGAGAAGACATCTCCTCTAGTGCTATACAGGCATGCAACATTGAAAATAACTCTTCATTATGAAGAACGTGTCACAGAAGAGGGTGTGTGTGTGTGTGTGTGTGTGTGTGTGTGTGTGTGTGTGTTAACAGAACAAGAGGCAGACAGTGGGATGTATAGACATGCAGCCTGACTTCTTCTACAGTTAAGATTTCCCTTCAGCTAGAACCTTTCAAGTTGGGCAGCTTGCAAAGTAAATAAAACAAGAGGGCAATATCTGTATTTACCACACTTCCCATTTGCAAAGCAAGGCAAGTTAAGCAACAAATGGATTTCTGAATAGAATATTCCCAAGGATAGCTAGTCAAGCAGATACTCACAGGATCACTCACTCAAAGGAAGATCAAATCAGGCAAAATTCACTGGGCTTGAAAAGTTCTTGAAAATCCTACTTGTTTTACTTTTGAAGTAGTTTTTAAAACATTCTTTCTCCTTTTCTACTGAAGTCCATCTGACATTGATTATGAACCAAAATGTATGAGAAAGTATTTTTATCTCTAATCTAGTTTGCTCAGAGATTTAAATAAGTGCAGGTACACATATCTACTGAGAAATCAGTAATTACTGGAGGCATTTATAGCCAGAAGGTGTTTTTAATGTTATGACAAAACAGCATTTGTAACTTTTTGACTTACATGGAATACAAGGGGCTAATTCTAGCCAACAGTGTTGCAAGACAATAGCTTATAACTACAATCTCCAGTATTATGGTTTATTTAGCAGCAAAGTGATTACATCCTAGAGAATCAGCAACTGTAAAATTCACCACCTTTCATGAGAGTTATGGTGTTCTGGGGGTGAAAGATTTATGAAGCAGCACCACGAGCCTGGCTTCTCTGAAGCTGATAGTGATGTCTTGGGCATTCTATCAAAGTTTCTTTCTCTCTTTCATGTTTGCTTAGGAGGCAGGTTTGAACGGTGGGCTTCTGGGACTCAAAAAATATTGAAAAGCTGTGGACTTTCCATTTTGTCCCTGTTACATTGTGTCCTTGGGAATAAGGTGCTGCTGCAAAGAGCTCATCCTGTCTGAAGGACGTTCAATCTATTTACTTACTGCTGAGGTAGTTGGTGAGTGAGCAGGTATTGAATGAATGAGTCCACTGGCAATAAAGCCCATGTCCAGCAGATGTCTCTGTGGGGCTGTTTTTATGGCTAGTTTCTTCCACAGGCTCCAGAATGCCCATTTGCACAGAGACCAGAGTGTAACCATAGCTCTATTAATTCTCTAGCTGACTTCTTTGTCTAGTTTATGGAATCACTGAATTACAACTAGGAGTTCCATACAGGTCATCTAGTCACTCCCTCATTTTACAGATAAGGAACCTGAGGCCCAGAGAGATCAAATCACCAGGTATTAAGTAAAAGATCTGAAACAAACTCGAATCCAATAATCTTCCCATTGCACTACACTGTCTTAGGCTTCACCACATCTTCCATGACTGCAATCCCTTAGTAGTATGCTCAATATGCACACACCGTAATTATAGAAGGCACTCAATAAATATCGGTTGCTTGACTGATCTTAGGAGGCCTTGTATTTCCTCAGTTTTTGTTTTTTTTTTGCTGAGGCAATTGGGGTTAAGTGACTTGCCCAGAGTCACACAGCTAGTGAGTGTTATGTGTCTGAGGTAGGATTTGAACTCAGGTCCTCCTGACTCCAGAGCCAGTGCTCTATCCACTGTACCACCTAGCTGCCCCATCTTGTATTTCCTTAGAAAGAGGAAAGATGTACCACATACCTTCCCTAGGTTCTTTCTGGTTCTACTCCTCTGTGAGTTTGAACTCATAGTTCAATTTTAAGGAGTATTTTTTGGACTAAGGAGTCCAGAGATGATTTGGAATCATAAATATAATATATAAATATAAAATATATAAAATAAATATTAAAACAGAACCTAACCTAGATAGTACCAATTAGTTGATAACTCCCTGCTGTCTGCATTCTTAAAAGTCCCAGCCAAGTCATTTAAGCTCCCTATGAGGTCAGTTTCCCTTCTTGTAAAATGAGGAATACAAAAATGTGGTAGAAACTGATTTTTATAAGTGTTTTTAAGAGGGGAAGACTAAAGAAACAACATTCTTACTCTTCCTTTAAACTTTCACAACAGTCAGTGGGCAACCCTCAGACATTGGTCCACTGAGGCTGAACTTGCTTTCTGGTGAATTCTGAAACAAAGACCATACTAAGGGGGGAGCCTGAAACATCTTCACTGATGATGCTGGACCAGGGGTGGCTTCCATGAGATAATTTAAGACTGTCCGATAAGAAAAATATTACATATATATGTATGTGTACATATGCATATCATACATGTAAATGCATATATAGGTAAATTTTTTATTGGACAGTATATGAATGAGGGGTCTGTAGAAAAGGGTGATTATAAAGGTCTGTTGGGGTGGGGTTGTAGGTAAGGGGAAGCAAGCAAAAGACAGTTGGGACTCTTATAGGATCATACATCTAGAACAGACTTCACAGGGTCAACCCTTTCATTTTATAGAGAAAATCGAAGCCCAAGGAAGTTAATCAGATTGCCTTAGGTCACACAAGAAGGAAGCCAGAGGCAGGATTTGAACCCAGATACTGACTCATGAGCTAGTACTCCTTCCACTGTACCATGCTGCTCTTTACTATCATTGCTTTTGGGATCAGATTTGGTGTCTTGGAAATGGACAGTCACCTTTCCAATCTCAGGAATCCATGCCTTGAATCAGGACAATTCCCATACTTCTCAGAGGGGCTAAGGAATTCCCCAGGAAGATCTAAGACTTCCCTAAATTGTCTTATTTGGCCATAGGATGCTGCACAGCACTTCAATTTTCCACAATAATTACTATGATTAAAGATAACTTGTAGGACCAGTTCCAACTCTTGTGGGAAAAGGATGGGGAAGACAGCATCTTAGCATGGAGACACAAGACTTTTTAGCTGGGAAGCTAGGTTGTTGGGAGGGTGCCTAGGTTGCAGAAAGCTGTGTTATGGGAGTACCAGGAGGTCTCATGCTAGAGAATAAGGATCATTAAGGAAAAAAGGGCTGAGGGCAAAGGAAGGGAACACACTGGGGTCTTGACCAGTGAAGAACAGGGAACTATGGGAACTAGGGCTCTTATTGAGAATAGGAGTTGTTGGAAGGTAATGTCAAAGTAGCAAATGAGATAAGATAGGTAAAGTCCTTTGCACAACTTAAATCACTGTTACACATTTCAGTTTTTATTATCATAATATAGTAAATAATAATAATAATAATAAATTTCATTGTTAGCAAGTTCTTGTAGTTTGGAGGAGGAGAATCAAGACGGATTAGGAATTCTCAGATATCAGAGGGACCACATGTATAAGATCAGGAATCTTGGGGAAACAAGAGTCATCCAGTTTTAAAAGGTTGGGTGATTGAGTAGTGTCCCAGTTTGAGAGGAGGGTGCTGAGGGAGTAAAGTCTGAGGGAAGGTGTCAGGGGAACAGTGTTTTCAGTTTTGACCGGAAGGTATTGGGTCTCCTGGTTCTAAGGATAAGATAATGGGGACGGGGGCAGCTAGGTGGGTGCAGTGGATAGAGCACCAGTGCTGGAGTCAAGAGGACCTGAGTTCAAATATGACCTCAGACACTTACAAGCTGTGTGACCCTGGGCAAGTCATTTAACCCCAATTGCCTAAAAAAACCCAAACACACCAAACAAACAAACAAAAAAAGATAATGGGGACAGAGTTTAAAGGGAGGTGGTCTGTGGTGGGAAGCAGGGTCCTCCAGTTTTGAGTGGTGGTATCTAAGGAACAGAATTTGAATGGAAAGCCTGAGGTGATGGAAGGTATTGGACGGCATATTGGTGGAGCAAACTCCCCCAGTCTTTAGAGATGGGATCAGGGGAGCAGATTGTGAGGAAAGGAAACTGGAGGATAAAGGTCTGAGGCTGCTGTGGAGGGATCAGGGTCTGAGAAAGGGGTCCAAGGACAACCTCTTTCACTCTGGAGAACATACAAGACCTGCAGAGGGTTTTGGAGGGAGAGGATTTTTTTGAGGGAGAGTTTCAAGGTATAGGGTTTAAAGAGGGAGTCTAGAAGCAGTCTCTCATTTTTTTGAGGAGATGGTCACAGGGAGCAGCTTTCCTGGCTTGGGGGGAAGGGGTCTAGAGGAGCAGCATCCATTAATTTTGAGGGTCTCAGGGACCAGGGTCCTCTGCTTTTGAGGAATAATTAAAAAACAACAGCTGAGGATGGTTCATGGTGAAGGATCTTACGCTTTTGAGGGGTCTCCGGCAGATAAGTCTGTTGCTTTGGAGGGTGTTTTGAGGGAGCATCACCTGAGAAGATTCCCTGCTTTGGGGAAGGGTCTGGAGAGATAGGCCCCCTGCTTTTGGGAAGGGTCTTAGGAGAAGTATCCCTTGATTTTGAGGGTCTCAAGGGCATAGGTTCCATGCTTTGGGGGGGGTCTCACGGAGCAGAATCTCTGGGTTTTTTTGGGGGTTCCCTGGGAGCAGAATCTCTGGGTTTTTTGGGGGGGGGTCCCGGGGAGCAGAATCTCTGGGTTTTTTTGGGGGGGGCCCTGGGAGCAGAGTCTCCTTTTTTAGGGGGCCCTGGGAGCAGTGCCCCCGGCCCCTGGCGGGAGGTCTCAGGGAGCAGAGCCTCCCGTTTTGGGGGCCCCCTGGAGCAGAGGCTCCGCGGGCTCGCTCTCACCTTTGCGGGCCTTGTCGGCCGGGATATTCTGCGCCCGCAGGCGCTGGTCCAGGATGTAGAGCATCTCCCCGCCCAGGTTCAGGAAGAGCAGGGGCAGCGACCGCACCGACATGGCGCCGCGGGGCTGGGGCCGGAGCCGCGGCTGGGGAGTGGCGGGGGCGGGGGCCGGGGCTGGCTGCGGGGATCCGGGGCACCGGGCACCGGGCACCGGCAGAACAGCGAGTGCTGCGTTCCTACCCTGCACAGGCGTCCCAGCCACTCGGTTGCCAAGGTAGCGCCAAGGCCTGGGAGAAGCGGCCAATCAGAGCGCCTCTTGCTGGGAGGTGGCCGTCTTAAAGGGGCCAGGGCGGAGGGCGGGAGAAGTCCTGTTAGCCGACATTTAAAGGTCCTGGAGGCAAGTCGGGACCCCGGTGACTTCTCTGGGTCGGGTGGAGGGGCTGTGGAAGCCCCAGCCTGCCTCTCCTGTGGAGGGGCAAGGCCTGGGGTTTGAGCTTTCATTCATTTCAGAGAACTGAGATAGAAAGACAGCTGTGCTCGGAGTCGGGGGACGTGGGTTCGACTTCTGACTCCACTTAGTAGCTGTGACCCTGGGCAAGTCCAGTTAATCCTCCTTTATCTGTGTGACCTTGGGGCATCAATCTCTCATCTTTCTGGGCCTCGGTTTCCTCATCTCTAAAAGGAGGAGTTTGGACATGATCTCTAAACCACTGATTCCGAATCAATTCTACAAGCATTTATTTAGCACCTACTGTCTAGGCATGCAAACCTCTACCACCCCTCCCCGCAATGGGAGTCCCTGCCCTAAAGCGACTTTCTTCAGGGAGGTGGACAAAGCACCAGGAAGAAAAGTATATACAAGATACACCCAGTGAAAGGAAGTGATACTGGAAAGACACCTAATTACAGAAAAGGGACTATAACAAATAAGGAAACTGAGGCAGAGGTTCTGACTGTGAGAGTCGCGCTGTCCTGCTGTACCGCGCCCGCCCCTGGGGGACTAGCAGCTTGGCTCCTGCCCATGGGAGCAGGTCGGCTCTGAACCAGACCCTAGGGGGAGGGTGGGAGTGGGTGGGTGGGTGGGGGACATCTTCGGAGGGTGGGCAGCACAGGCTTGGAAGTAAGGGAGAAACTTGGGAGTAAGTTTTGACCTCAGTCTGCTAAATGAAGGAGCAGACTTCTCCCTTACTGTCATTTCAACCATTTCAACCAATTCAGTTTCATAGAATTAAGAGTCAGGAGATCTGGGTTCAAAATCTACTTTGGATAGTTACTAGAGAGATGTGTGGCCACTAAGTAAGTCATTTAGAGGCAGTGTGGCGTAGTGGATAAAGTGCTGGACTCAGTCTGGCTGGAAGAGCCGAGTTTGAATCCTGCCTCATACTTAATAAGGTGTGTCCTCTTGGGATTCTTTCCCTTTGGTTCATTCACCTCTCCTAGCCACAGTGTCCTAATCTACACAACACGTGGGGATAGGACTTGACTCCAAGGTCCCTTCCAGCTGTAGATCTTGTTTAGTCCTCCTGACTCTCTGTGACTCCATTTAGGGTTTTCATAGCAAAGATGCTGGAGTGGTTGGCCATTTCCTTCTCCAGCTCATTTTACAGATGAGGAAACTGAGGCAAACTGGGTGAAGCGACTTGTCTAGGGTCACACAGCTAGCAAGCATCTGAAGTCAGATTTGAACTCAGGGAGATGAGTCTTCCTGACTGTAGGCCCTGGGCTCTATCTGATGGCCCACCTAGGTGCCCCTAGTTTTAGATCTATGATCATTCAATTTTCTCATCTATAACATTGAGATAACCTACTTGCCCACTAGGAAGTCTTTTTGCAAATTCTGTATAAACCTATTATTCCATTTTGAAAAAAAAAGTTCATTAATGAAGATGATCCCCAATGACGAAATCCCCTTTGATTTGAACTTTTATTGACTTTTGTTTTTACATCACAATCCATTAGATTCTGAACTCCTTGAGAGATCACAATGCTCTTTTGCGTCTTTTTGTATCCATAGGACCTAGCACAGTACCTGGCACATAGTAGGTACTTTATAAATGTTTACTGACTATTTATACCACCTCTAATAGTGAGCCATCCCTTGAAACAAAGAACTAAAAAAGGGAAAAATAGGGGCAGCTAGGTGTTGCAGTGGATAGAGAACTAGTCCTGAAGTCAAGGAGGACCTGAGTTCAAATCTGGCCTCAGACCAAACACTTGACATGTACTAGCTGTGTGACCCTGGGCAACTCACTTAACCCCAATTGCCTTGCAAAAAACCCCCCAAAAAACCAAAACCCAACCAAAAAAAAAAGTGAAAAATAAATGAACCAATATATTAACTGAGGCTGAGAGTAAATGCAATGTTCCGTAGGTAGAGTCCCTCTCTTCCAGGAAGGGATCTTCAAGAGCTCTGTATTTCCTTTATCTGATCATATTCTTTTATTTTTCCAGCTTTTACTATGTCTCACTCTTCCTAAACTTACCTTTGATCCTGTGACCTATAATCTATCCTTGTACCCTTTAGTACTGTGCCAGGCCATCGTCCTTGCTTATACTTTTGCCAATCTTGACCTTTTGGTGAACCAGTCCAATCCTACACAATCCTCTCCTCTTGAATCTCTTGCTCCTTATCCTATTGCTTATCATGCCGAACCAAATCCCGACCCGGATTACTATCACTTCTACCTCCTTCCTTCCTACTCACATACTGTTAAGTTGAATTAGAGGGAATCATCGAAATGTTGACTGGGCCCAATACAAATCTATGCTAGCTAATCTCAAATGGCTCTTCATTACAGCAAAGCAGTCCTTCACACCTAAACTCACTGGCTTCAGCCACTTGCCAAATTTCCCCTTTTCCTTCCCTTCTCATTTCATATACTCCTCTTCTAAATCCCTTGCAATCTTAGCTTCTGATCTCATCATAACTGAAACTTCTTTCTAATTACCATGGTTTCCTAATTGCTAAATCTAATGGCTTCAGCCTGGACTTCTCCACAGTCTTTGATGCCATTGATCTCCTTCTGCACTCTCTAATCCCTTGGTTCTTCATTAATGACTCCTCAGCCTCTTGTGATGGATCTTCATCTATGTCTATCTCACTAACTCTGGGCCTTCTCTAGTCTCACCCTTGGAGATCTCATCAGTTCACATGGCTCAATAAGCATCTCTATGCAGTCGATTTCTAGATGTCTTTATCCAGCTCCAGTCTGTTTCCTGAGCTCCAATCCCAAATTGTCAAATGTCTTCAAACTTGGTGTTCCACTGAAACTCAACATGTCCAAAACACAACTCATTATCTTTCTCTGCAAACCCTCCCCTCGTCTGAACCCTATTACTGTGGAGGGCACCACTGATTTTTTAGTCACCCAGATTCCGCAGTTGGGCACCATCAACTCCTCTCTCACTCACCCCACATACAGCTAATTATCAGTTGCCAAGACTTATTCAGGGCTTTTCCAAAGATGTCTAGTACAGGTACACTAAGTCACTACCCAAATTCAGGCCTTTATCACCAGCTCACCTGGACTACTCCAACAGCCAATTCTTCTCCCTTCCTCAAATGTCTCCGCACATTAATCTACCCTCCCCTCAACTGCCAATGCGATTTTCCTAAAGTGTAGCTCTGAGCATGTCAACCCGACAGTTCAGTAACTTCTAGCAGCTCCCAGTTACCTCCAGGACCACAAAAAGTCCTTCATTTGTAATTTAAAGCTTTTCACCTGGCTCCTTCCTCCTCTCCATGGACTCTTATTATCAAGGTACTCTGTTGTATAGCTGTTCTTGAATTGGCTCTTTCCCCATGCCCAGAATGCAGGGGAGACCTCCAACTTAGCATGAGAGGCTTCTTTTAAGACCCAGCTCAAGCACCACCTATTCCAGGCCTTTCCTGGGCCTCCAGCTGCTAATGACACCCCCCTTTAAGGTACACATACACACACTCACAAATGTGCACGTATGTATAGTCGGGAGTGCTGTGATAAGGTTTAAACTTCTCATTCGGGACCCTCAGTTTGCTCTTGGCCCTGTTTTACATCACCATTTCCCAGAACCCTCTGCTCCTGCTTATGTTGGTCATCCTCTTCCTCGACTGTCAGATCCCTTCCCCTCCTTCCAGGTCCCATTTCCCCAACAGGGGCGGTTTTCTTTACTTTGGCAGCCTGGTGACTTTCCCCTGCTATGGACGATAACTACATTTACCATCCCCATCGCTCATCCATCCCTTATGTCCTATTGTCATTTATTCATGTATTTCTTATTTCCCTAACTTGACAGTTGGGTCCTCAAGGGCAGAGGCTATGCCTTCTCTTTCTTTGTACCCCAATTCTTTCCACCCTCCTCCCCATTTCCCCAGCTCTTGCTGGCATTGGGCCTCCTACACAGTAGATGTTCAATAATGTTTTGTTCATTGATGGTCAAGGATAAATATGTGTGATTGGGCTGGTTAGGGCTGGGGCACACATAGCCTTAATTAGTATTTGCTGGGCTGAGATATAATTTCCAACTTGTAATCCTTGAAACTATAATCACAGGATGCTGGAAGGGACCTTAAACCATCTACTCTAACTCCCTCATCTTACAGATGAAGGAAATGAAGCTCAGAGGATGGAAGTGATTTCCTCTAGGTCACCCAGCCTGCAGGTATAGAATTGGAACAGAAACCTAGAGCCTGCTCTCAATCTGGTGCTTTCTATGACACCTCTGGGCCTTCTGAGCTGAAGGGGCCCCTGCCCTTAGAAAGTAACTGTTTTAATCTATGTAATGACTTGTCATATTATTCATTAAAACACTCAAAACAGCTTGGACACTGCAAAAAAGAAAAAAAAAAAGAAAAGCAAAAGAAAAACGAGGTGTCCTGGGAGCCAGCATGCTGGTAGACAGATGCAGGCCCCTCAGAAGAGCCCTCAGCTACATAGTTGGCGAAGTCTCTCTCACTTTTCTCACGTCTACAACTCCATCCTTCCCCATATTCAGCCAGGACATACAGAACACTAAGTTTTGACCTAATTTATTTTTTTCTATTAGACAAAGGGCCACAGGATTTGTGGAGCCTGGGCTAGGAGAGCGAAGCGTCCTGACTCTCTGGCCT